ATATTAAAACTGAAAAGACTGTAAATAAAAAATTACTTATAGAAAAAAATTACTTATCAATGCACATTGAGAAAAAGATACTTCAAAATTTATTTGTAGGAAATATATTTATATATCTCACCAAAATACATCTTTAAATACAATGAAATAAAATTTTATTCTTAGCAAATAAACCGTGAGATATATTTCACAGAAATAAATATTTTGTTATCATAAAATTAAATTTTTTCATAACTAATACATATCGAAGAAAACGTCGTAAATAATATTTACTTCGCGATATTTCGATTCATTTTTCTCTCAATGCACATGGCTAAGAAGATATCTATATCGAGCTCGTTAAACAAAATCCATCATTATGATCGTGTAGAAGTAATGTTACCCATTCGGAAAATATTGGAAACAATAAAATCGTACTGAAACACGAGTTGCTTCGGTAGGCGATCCAGAGTGACGACGCATCGATCCGAAATCAAAAGTTTATGTTATCCAGCTCACGTGTGAGTTTCAGAGTGACCTCCAGGGTGGAGGTGTCACTGTGCCACTTGGCGAAGGACGCGTTGGGATCCACCGAATGTGGTGTCGGTAGGTGCAGCCGATATCTGGTGGAATCGCGACTGGTTTTACGCATCCGGTAGATTTACAGCCTCGTAAAATTGTCAAAGAAGGGCGGACGCTCGTCTCCATCGGAATCAAACGCGACTCCGACGGCGGGAACGAGCTTCGCTCTCCTTCTGTCACATGGGTCACACTAATAAATTTGATCGTGGTCACCTCACCTTGGACTGCGCACGTCGATCGCCTCGGATTCCACGGACAGCTCCACTTTTTCCCGCGTTTCCTGGGGCAATTTCACTAGCACCGACAGCCACTCACAGGACGCCGTGCTCGGCGTTTTAAAGCCCATCTAAATAACAATTCGTCCGTCTTCAAGGCCGCGATTCACACGTAACGTGTCGAGTGAAATGAATTCTCTTTCGACGTTTCGCGAAGTCACCGGTTTTGCGAGAGAGAATAATCGAGAGACTCTAGACACGTGTTATCTTGGTTCTGTTGCTTTATTGCGCCATATTTCTTTAGCGGTAATTCTATTTTTCCAGGAAAATTGCATACATTTTAATTTTTAAAGCGCAATCTAAAAACGGTGATATATATTTTCACTTTTTAAAATTAAATTCGCATCTTATTGTTCCATTTCTTTATATCCTTCTTCGTTAGTTTTTATTGACTTTGAAGCATGGAAATTTTATTGACTTGCAGCATGGAAATATATAAATTTTGATCTTTGAAGAAAATACAAATTTATCATTTATTTTATTTTATTTATTCTCATACATAAAATATTCTCGAACTTCTAAAAAAATACAATACAGAACTTAAAATCGAATGATCCATCATTTATCATTAAATCTACGATAAGACTAAACTACGATATGTATGAACATATAAGAATATGTGTATAGGAATGAACTATATATAACATATCATAGTTTATTCTTATCGTAAATTTAATGATAAATGATCGATCATTCGATTTGCAGTTCTGTATCTGTATTATATTTTTTTGAAAGTTCGAGAATATTTTATGTATTGTATAAGCACAAGTTATAAATCAAATAGATGATAAATCTGTACTTTTCTTCAGAGATGAAAATTTTTATATTTATAATACTGAACGTTTTATAACGCTCAAAATTGTATCAAAGCCTTATTTAATTGTTACCAAAAAGAGACTCACTCCTAAATAAACATCTTCAGCTGTTACTGCCTGTTTAAACTTCATCTCGTATTCGGGCGGCTTTCTAGGGTCGTAATCCTGCAAGTTCTGAGTGTCGACCGCCTCTGAGGGATGCCAAATATCGTCACCCTTGCTTTGTAGGGGTGCATGAGGTCCCGAACGATTCTGGGAAGAGTCCTGGGAAAGGTCACTCGGCGCGCCAATGTCACCAGGTCCTGGTAAACAAATATTTCATTAGCCATCCTGTCAATCGTCTCGTTTTTATTCTGCACAACTAATGACTAATAACATTACATTGTCTCAAGAATAACGCATGATAACATCATCCAGAGGCGGCGCGTAAGCTGTTTAACGGTAATTTAAAAACGGATGTATAACGATGATTTATAATTAAACGTAACTGCGAATTGAGAATCGCACGAGTCATATTAAAATTAATGATTGACAGCGCAAATTAACTTGCGGGTTGCTTCATTGGTTGCTACGTCGGATCATTTATAAAGCGTTACGTCGATAATATTACCGGTTTGCGAAGAAGAAATCGAAATATGCATATAAAACTCGCGATACACGTTTAATTCTCACCGCAATTACGTATTACCTACGATCCTAATAAGAGGGAGGATGTAATTTTGCTATGGATGTATTCAGAGGATTCAACTTAAATTATATTTATTTTTTTATTTTTAATTAAGAAAAAAATAACTTTACTTTTAACTTTAAATAAACTTTTTGTTGTCACATAAGATATTTTTTTCTCTCTGTTAGAGAAATTACTATGTATAATTCAGGTAATTTCTGAAACTTTCATTAGTTATAACTTTAACAAAGTGTCATAATTTTAATAATATTTAGTAAAGTTTCTCATCTAAGAGGCAATTCTTTTCTACATTTTTTAAAATTTTTTTTCTGAGGAAGATGATCGTGAATATTTCGTATGTAATAATATATAATAACAGTTCCAATATTATAAAGAACTATATATTTCATTTTATTCTTTTATATAAATGTATTTTACATAAATGTATTTAATATAAATTTAATTTAATATTTAATATAATGTATTTAATATAATATTTGATATATAAATGTATTTTTTGTTATGACTTTAAATCTTAATATTTTTTCTATTCAAAATCAGGAACGAGAAGGAGATATTCTAAGTTCTAAAGTATTTAGAAAAGCAATTCATTAATGCAAAAAATGTTGTTTGTACGATAACAGAAATCAGAATTGAAAATCTCCCCTCCGAAAAAAATTCTAGATACATTCATAAATTTTACGCTACACGAAATACTTAAGACAAAAGCATTATAAAAAATTCTCTCTATCATTTCGTTGTAGCGAGCTTCAGGTTTACGAATGCGAATAAAAAATGTAAATTAAATAATCGAAAATACGCGAATAATAAACGCTCGCGCATACGAGCGGGTATGGCATTGTTGTGTTTGCTAATTAATTGCGTTTTCGCCAGGTTAAATAATATCCCGTACAATACATCGAATTAAACGTAACGATACAACGAGATTTTCAGTTCGGGAACACATCGGGCTTTACCCAGCTTGAAATTGCACAGGGGAAATTAGCCGTCGCGCGACGCCGATTGTTTTAACAGCATGCAACAATTTTGCCGGGTGTATCTCCATAATTAATCAGTCGTAAAACGTAAACTCACCGAATTTCCTCGCACCCGCCTGCGGTAGATCGTCCTCGCTGTCGGAGTCGTCTTTCGATGGACAAATTAAATTTTGGAGAGCCTGTAAATCCGCCGGACTGAAATGACCGTCCATCGCGAATATTACATACGATATCGCGAAATTTTATCCGAAGCTCACACTTTCTCTACAACGCATAGCCCGCAACAACAAATTAACGTCGCTATGACGACAAACTCGCTGTTACTCGATAAGGTGGCCCGATTTGAAATTGACTCGGTCGAAAAATTCCGCTTGACGTCGCGCGGCGTCGAAACTATTTATCTATTAAATTGAATATGCAACAGCCGTTCTCTCGATCGGAGAACAATTTCAATCGTGTGTTATGGAGACAAAAATAAAAAATGATCGAAAGTACCATATAGCTGTGTGATACGCTTTGGTGATTTGTTTAAATTTAACTTCAACAATTTTTATTGTGTAATTGAAAAATATACATATAATGTACATCCTACATATATGTACAATGGATTGTACATTATACATATATGTACAACGTAGAAATAGATAGAACATAAGCAAAACGTGGTAAATAGAGTGTCTGTGAAGTTAGCACGGTATTTTATTAATTTTCAAAAAACAATGATTGTTCCGGTAGTAGCACTTTCCATTTGTTCTACTGTTCTTTCAAAAGTTCAAACAAAATGTTCTACATTTTTTATATCAAAAGATCAAAAATAAAGAAATGCCACTAACTTTATGTTCCAGCACGGCATAACTTCCTCTAAAGTATAGATACCATCGAATATTATGACATCTGTTAAGTATTCCCGTTTTTTTTTTTAAGCTAGATTGATTATTATATAATGTTACAGGACAAAATCTCAACATATATGTAATAATTTTTACACCGATTAGAATATTCGTACGGAACCGATCCGATAATTTTGGGCATTTTTGACAATATACTCGTAGCTCTGACTTGTTCCGCTCGAGTTCTATACGAACGTCATCAATACATCATTATTAAAAGTTGTTCCTTATAAATATTTTTTAAACAACTTTAACTATCGCTACCAGCATATCACTTGGCGGAAATGTGTCGTGCTGATTAATTTTAGCACTTCTGGCGGTAGTTCTGAGTTGCTTCGCTCGAATAAATTATTATCAAAGGTTGTGCCGCCTTATAAACATTTTTTTTACGCAATCTTAACTATCGCTACCAGCACGTCACTTGGCGGAAATGTGTCGTGCTGATTATTTTCAGCACTTCTGGCGGTAGTTTTGAATTGTTCCGCTCGAGTTTTTATACGAATAAATTATTATCAAAGGTTGTTCCGCCTTGTAAACACTTTTTACACAATCTTAACTATCGCTACCAGCACATCACTTAGCGGAAATATATATCGTGCTGATTAACTTTAACACTTCTGGCGGTAGTTCTGAGTTGCTCCGCTCGAATAAATTATTATCAAAGGTTGTGCCGCCTTGTAAACATTTTTTACGCAATCTTAACTATCGCTACCAGCACGTCACTTGGCGGAAATATGTATCGTGCTGATATATGTATATTTCTACAGAAAGACCAGAATTATCACCAGAAGTGCTGAAAATAATCAGCCCAACAATTGTTTGATTTTCTTTTACAGCATTACAAAGTAATGTTTCAATAATCGTATGAGTTTCGTTAGATTTTTTTCTCTTATAAAAATTTTTGTAACAGAATCGTCGGCTGCTGTCAAATTCTGTCTCCAAATTCAAACCTGGGAATTGGCCAACCTCAGATTCGTATTTTGAAACAAATTTTGTTTCAAAATTCATACCTAGAGTTTACCTCAGGGGAAGCAAAATCAATCAAAGTGAAGGCGACAAAATCCAAAATCAAGTTGATCGCTTTCTTTGATACAGATGGCTTTGACACGCGAAATGAAAAACTCAAATAAAAGGAATGCGTTTTGATGATATTTTGGACATCTAGGCGAATCGACTTCAAAATAGCCTTCAATGTGACGAGCGCATTGAAAACTTATTTCGAAAGGTGACTACTGTACAAAACTTTCCAAAGAAGAAGGTTGAAAGAGCATTCTGAGCATTGAAGTCAGGAGTAACTCTATGTTGGTTTTCATTAATAAAATTTATATACATATTTTAGTTTCTTGATTTTTCCGAATTCTGTCTTGGAACTTTTTAGGCAGATCGTGTATTTCATTATTAATATGGAAATTAATAATTTTATTGTTTTACATATGGAAAGGAAAAAGATTACGATAATGAATTACATAACAGAATGCGAATATATATATATATATATACAATAGTTATACAAATTTTATTTCATGAATAGTTCTGCCGATTAAATTAATCGCCGATTAATCCTCCGAAATTGATGTCAAAATTTAAAACAGTACTGACTCATTTAATTTATGTTAAAGACACTAATTAATTTCGAGGAATCAAAATATAATAATATAAAAAACATAATTCATATAAAAAAGAATATAAATGCTTATTTTAATATAACTAATTTAAACTTACAAATTAACATATAAAGAAAATTAAATTGACATTTTTAACAAATTTAATATTAAAAAATTAAATTATTTAACATTTTTACGACAAGATTTATAATTGAGGTCTAATAGACCTACTGTCAGTTCTGAAGGATTAAATTAATCCCGAGTTTAAACAAAGTCACTCTCAAAGTCTGCGCTTCTGCCAATTAAATTTTATGGTAAGCATCCTATAAAAAAGAAAGCTTTTAAAAAGTCTTCAATATAAGAAAATGTGAAAAAAATAAAATTTAAGAAATTTTTAATTAAATTATATAGACGTAAAGAAAGAGGATGCTTGTGATCTTTAAACAGACCGAATGAAAATAATTCATCTAAAAAAGAAATCTATTTTGCATATAAAAATTACGAAAATACAATATATTCGTATCTTATTTATTCAAGATTGTCTAAATAAACATCTGAGATGTTATACAATTATTTCATAGGAACTCCTACAGCACAAAAGTCACAGCAACAATGCTGCAACATTGCAGCAATATTACAGCATTATTGCTGCGATATTGCTATAAATTCTGTACTGTATGGAAACAGTCTCTGAATATTTTCGTAGTCAAATTCAAAACGAAAAATAATTTAAATATAAAATCAGTCTCTAAATATATATCGATCGGTCTTTAATTCGCTTTTAATCATATTTAAAGATCTATATGCATCAATTTAAAGATCTATCGTACACGTGATAATTCGAAACACTTGCCGCTTCCTACAGAAATTGCATTTCATTGTGATCGCTGGCAGCGAGAATGGGACGCACCTCACACACCTTCATTGAGGAACCTGAAATCTGAAACCGCGCAAAACGTTTCATGTGCCGTTTGTGCGATCACGTGCAGTCCGACCAACGCAACGGTGTCCAGTGCCGGTGAGAGAGGTCCTTTCTGCGACAGCTTGGCAACATGGTGGACGTGATGAACGAGAAGCTGTCGAAAAAGTAAGTAAAGTGCACGACATTGGACGAGATTATTCTGTATCTGTAAGATATCCGTTGGGTCTCGTGACGCTTTTCGCTCGATTGCTCTGATCGCAACACGGACTTTTCTCCTCACGGGCGACATAACCTAAAAAAGAGAAAAAGTTCGACATGTGGCTCGTTGCCACGCGGTCATATACGGTGCTCATTACGTGGTTCGGATTTTCTCGCAGATAGCGATATCTTGTAGAAAAATCTAATCGTCAGATGGGGTAAAGTCTAATCCCGGCGCAGCGATCATGTTCGGTACATTAGCCAATGCTCGTGTTATGATTGCGCGGCCAGTAGGGCGAACCTGGTTAACGAGCCACGGGACGAAGTTGCGTCAGACTCCTCCGCGTCGATTTGCCACGAAGTGCGTAATGGATCATTTGATATATTAATCGATCCTGAGAGAAGTAATTTGAGACGATATCCTATCCCTTGCAGCGAGCTGAAAAGGCGTCTCAAGGCCGAGCAAAAGGCCAAGGAGAAGGCTGAGAAGGAAGAGGCCAAGACGCTTGCAGTGGCAGCTCAACCAAAGTCTGAGAAAAAGGAAATCAATGAAGAAGAGATTAGTCCAAATGTAAGTTCTGGAGTCTTTTGTAAAATAGAAATTTATACTGGATATAATAAAACAAATTCATCTTGTGCGGAAAACAAAAGATAAAGATCCTTTTATTTCATGGGCAATCCATTACTTTTTCTTGGATTTAATAGATTTCAGCAGTACAATTTTCAATATTACACTTTAAAGTTAAAGTCTGTTATACAGCGTATTAATATTTTTATTAAACCTAGCTGTGTGTACATATTTATTTTTTAGAGATCATAGAGTGTATAGCTAAGGTTAAATCTTAACCCGATTCCAAAAAGATTTATTGTGAAATTTGTGTACTTGCAGGAATATTTTAAGCTCCGGTCAAACTTGGTCAGTCAACTCAAAGCTATTAATGATAATCCTTACCCGCATAAGTTTCACGTATCTGTCTCCCTGGAGGAGTTCATTGAGAAATTCAAGGATATTGTGAAAGATGGTGAAATATTGGATAATGAGGTACATAGCGTCGCCGGACGTGTTCACTCCATTCGAGGATCTGGCGCCAAATTGATTTTTTATGATCTTCGTGGCGAAGGTGTCAAGGTGCAAGTGATGGCTAACGCAAGATTATATGAAAACGAGGAAAAATTTGTAGCAGATACTGCAAAGATTAAGAGAGGCGACATCATAGGTGTCGTTGGCAAACCTGCAAAAAGCAAAAAAGGCGAATTCTCGATCGTACCACGATCTATTATCCTTCTAAGTCCATGTTTGCATATGTTGCCACATCTCTATTTTGGCCTGAAAGACAAAGTAAGAAATAAATTTACAGAAAAATACATAGTTCTTAAACATATATATTTTAAATTTATGTTATAATAATTTCTAACTCATTACAACATGCAATGTGTGTAAATATATTATGTAAATACATAATTCGTAATCGGGATAAACACTTTTGTATACAATCAGGAAACAAGATTTCGGCAGCGATACTTGGATCTTATATTAAATGACAAAGTTCGACAAATCTTTCACACACGTGCGAAGATAATCGCTTATGTACGCAAGTTTCTTGATAATATGGGCTTCTTAGAAGTCGAGACTCCCATGATGAACATGATTGCTGGAGG